CGGGGGCCCCTGCTGCGGAGCCCGCTCCCTGGGCCTGCGCGCTCCTCCCGGGCTCGGTCCCCAGGCTGTGGCGCGGCGTGGAAGCTGCGCGCTCGCCGGCCGGCGCGTCCGTGCAGGTGCCGTGGCCACCGCTGGTAGCGGCTGGAGCCCGGCGGGGAGGAGGAGCGGCAGCGGGACAGTCGCACTGCCGGCCGTTCCCGCCGGCTCTGCAGCCGGGTGGGGCTGGGTTGAGTGCTGCTGGCGTTATGTAAGCAGCGGGAGGTGAAGTGGTTCGGGCTTGAGACCAGCGTCCTTGGTGTACCGTTATTTGTCCGTAGGGGTTGAGGGGCAACCTGGCAGGGTATGACAGTACCGAGAGGGGCATCTGGGAGCTCAGGGCTTCCATTGACTCAGTGCGAGCTAGGTATCAAACCTGCTTAGATGCCTTTGACAACACCCCCCTTCCGCAGGTCCACCTGCATGATTAGGAGTTCAGTAAAGCAGGCTTGAAGCTCTGCTTGTGCAAGATGGTTATTGCTAAGAGCTTCTCTGCATAAGCACAGGCTCTTTTTGCAGTGTGACTGGTAAGGAGGATAATAAAGATCCATGCACAAGATCCATCCTGATCAGATGGTGTATCTCCTATGACTAGCTTCTCAGAGCTGGGCAGATATGGGAGATGGGGCGGGGTGCAATTCTAGTCGGTAGGTCTCTGTTTCAAGCTCTGAGCAGGAGATTTGGATTAACAGGCTAAGAGACTGTACAGAGTCAATTAGCCGTGTTAAGTTTGAAGTAGAAGGCTGGGCAGGGCTGTATCTTATAGACTAACTAATTAAGGCAGCAAATTAAAAGAATGTAAAATAATGTGGGCAAATATTTCCTTCCCCGTGTTCCTTCATTCATTAAAATCATAACTGAAAAGCAATAACAATGAGATCTGATGTACCTCTAAACGCACACTTTCATTAGATATCTATGTGATTGCTTTGTAAGACTTCTATTTGTTCATATTTGGTATAGTCATTTTAGAAAGTAGTTTCATAGAAGTTAGGGGCTGGAAGGGACCTCAGAGATCATCAGGTCTAGCCCCCCCTGCTCAAGGCAGGAAAGACTGATGAGGTCAGATGACCCCAGTGAGGTGTGTGTCCAGTCACCTTGGGGATCTTCAAAAGATAAGTGACTGTACCACCTCTGAGTGGAGTCTATTCCAGACTCTGGTGTTTTCATCTGGAGATGGAAGCTCAATGTGAGATTCTATTGAAAGGATCATTGGAGCCCAGATATGGCCAGACTGAGTGTCCCCAATTAAAGTCTTGTGTAAGTTTGGTGTCTTTGGCTCTGGGTGTTTTTATTTTAAAAACTGTTACTGAAGCTGAGAGGCTGTTGTGTTTGGAACAGGAATAGCTCTGCATAGGAGGAACAGGTTCACTGTCCACAAGGAAATCATCCGTGTCACTGAGAAAAGTCTAAGGAGATTCCCAAATGGGTCTATATTATTAGTTTTAACAGTTTTAGCTACAGATCATAGCTGCATCAGGGTAAGTGAGGAGCTTCACTGCATGCAGAAGCATAATTTACACTATGAAAACAGCATTCTACCTCAGAGAAACAAATCAAAATTGTAGGGAGAAAGAGGGGGACTAATGGTTTTGTAAACGTTGAACATGAGAAGTGAACTGCATTCAGCTGCTCTATCTAGTCTTTTAACCCTTTTTATACCAGCTGAGCACACCAGGTTCCAGTGCACCCTCAACTGCTGTTAACTTCATTGGTTCCCACTGGCACTTCAGAAGTGATCTGACCCCCTGCTGACTTCCTGCCCCTTGGGCAGGGGGCTGGACCTGATGATCTCACGAGGTCCCTTCCAGCCCTAATGCCTGTGAAACTAGGAGTTTTTCCTCCTGTCTAATCTGAAGTGATCCTCTATCAGTTTATGACCATTAATCCTAGCCTACCCCTGGGGTGCCTTGGTGAATAGTAGAGGTACACTGATACATCAGTCTGATATCAGATAGGTACAGATATAAAGAAAATTTGCTGCATCAGGTATCAGCCCAACGGGGCCAATAATTTGGCCAATAAATGCCTGTACTGCATGCAGCCACCGCGCAGCACAGAGCAGAGCTGGCAGTGTGGAGAGCTGCCTCCAGCTGCTAAATTGGAAGGGAAGGGGGGAAGGAAGGGTCATATGGGGGCAGATCAATGTCCCCATGGTGAGGGAGGGAGGGGGCAGGCACTGCCTGGGGGAGGGGGTGGGAACACGGGACAGGTGCAATGAGTGTGTGTGGGGGGGAGAGGGGATGGCTCCTGCCATTGCTTGCACCCCGGGATGACATGGGACTGTGTGCCCCCTGGATCTGGTGGGGGGCGGGCTGGAGCTGGTATTATGCGGGGTTCTTCTTGGCAGGGGCTGGGCTTGGAGCGGGTGCTGGGAGGGGCTGCATCCACCCCAAATTTTGCCACAGCTTTGCGCCATGTGCTGCCTCCACCCGTCTGCTGGGAAGAGCCAAGACTGCACTGGGCAGCAGTGATGGCGTTGGGAGCCGAGCTGCAGTGATATTTGGGGTGACTGAAGCTCCCTCCCAACACCCATTTTGAGCCAACCCCTGCCAAGAAGAGCCCCGCACAATGCTGGAAAACCTTGGAGTGGGTGCCGGTGGTGCTGGGTGGATGCTGCATCCACCCCAGATTTCATTGCAGCTCCGCTTCCAGCACCGCTGGCGCAGCCTCAGCTCTTCCCAGCATGTGGGTGGAGGCAGGACATGGAGCTGGGCTGTGCCTGGCAGTGTAGGGCTGGGAGTAGAGCTGTGGTGAAATTTGGGGTGGCTGCAGCCTCTCCCAGTGCTGTTGGCACCTGCTCTGAGCCCAGCTCTGCCGAGAGGAGTGCGCCCCCCACCCCCAGCGCTGGCTCCAGCCCATCCTGCCCCGCCCTGCACAGATATGAGGGGCACACACCCCCACTCCTGGGTTGCAAGCAGGAGCAGGGGCCCCCCAC